GAAGTGCACTTCTTCAAAATATCTAATTTTAAACCATAATCTGTACATACAATTGAAGACATTTTAAATTGGTATAAGAATAGACATTATATATAACATTTAAAGGGCAAAATAAAGTATTTCTGTCAAAGCCACAAATATATGATGAATTGATTTCAAGGAAGTTGCCCAGGTAATTCAATAAAGAAAGATCTTTTCTAATGATTAATGATAGAATATAGAAATATTTTTATTGGATAAAACAAACCTCAACCCTCACTTAAAAAGTTCACAGTTATTAATTCATATATATATATGTGTATATATAATCACAATGTAGAAAACTAAACCCTAAAACAAAACAAAAACTGCAAAACACATTTTCACAAATTGTGGTATGAAAAGATTTCTTAGACAAGAGACAAATTAATAAATTTAGCTTCACTGAAATTAAAAATTCTTCTCTTCAAAATATTAAGAAAGCATTATAAAAAACTTTTTAAAAATTAAAGATCAAAAAAATAAATAAAAATTAAAAATCAAAACATAGACTAGCAGGAAAATTGTCAAAATGAATAAGATTTGCATCCTAAATATATGACTCTTATATTTCAATCATAAATAAACCTAGTAAAAAAAATTAGCAAGAGACTTAAGCACTTCAGGATGGAACATTTACAAATGACCAGTGAGCACATACAAAGATGCTCCAGACCATCAGCCACCAGAGAAATGCAACGCGGACCCACAACGCGCAGCCACCACAAAGCTGGTAGAATAACTAACATAATGGACACTATTTCCAAGTGTTGCTGAGGGTATGGAGCTACTGAGACTGCAGAACATCTCAGCTTCTGGGAGTACGAAGTTCTTAAGTAAGGAAAAGAGCTGGATAGTTTCTTAAAAAGATAAATGTGGGACTACATATGTTCCCATCACCTTTCTCCTAGTTATTTTACTGACAAGAAAAACAAGTATCAATGAAAGCTTTCTATACAAATATTTCCTGGCTTTTCCACAATTTTCCTTAAAAAGAAACAACCTGCAGGGGAATAGATGAACAGTGGTATCATCTGTCAAGGAAAATAGTGCCCCAGCACTGAGGACACATGAGCTCCTGACACATACAACACAGGCGAATTCAAAATTCAATTCATCAGCACAAAAGAAGGTGGATGCAAGACTCTATCCCATTCAATTCCAATAATATGAAGCTCTAGAAAAGATAAAACTTATCTGTGATAAAAACACACTCAGTGGTTGACTGGGGATGAGGAATAAAAGAGTAGGAAGAGGCAAAGGGAGTTTTCTAAGACAATGAAATCATGATCTAATTGATGTGCTGGTATTTAACAGGTCACATGTGTTTTTCAAATCTTCCTGATCTTGAAGTGTCCGTGTGTACTTTACTGTATTCAAATCAAGTACACTTCGGTAAAGTTTATAAACAGCAGGCATACATTTACTATTAAAGAAGAAGAAGAATTGGTTAAAACATTTTATGAACCATGAACTTGAATATTCAATTTGCTGAATGATAAATACAGCTCCAGTTCTACATTTTACATTCTTTTTAATTGAATGGTAACTATGTACATTAATGCACTTCTGGGGTACAGTGTGGGGTTTTCACACACAATCCGAAATACTTCCATCAAACTGGTTAACATAGCCTTCATGCCATTTTCTTAGTTATTGTTTTAAAACATTCA